AATTAGAAAAGAAGTTGAAACTTCCCTGATTCAGAATAAAAGAACGACCAACTCTCTCTCTCTCTCTCTCTCTCTCTCTCTCTCTCTCTCTCTCTCTCTCTCTCTCTCTCCTTCTCTCGCCGTGGAAAGAACGGTAAGAAAAGACAGTGAAAGAAAGCAGAAAGGATAGTGGAAAAGGAAAACTTATCTCCGCCTCAGGATCGATCTCTGTTAAAACTTTCTGGCTTGGTAACGATATCCTTACCTAGATATATATGTATATTATACAGTAGTCAATGAATTCTCTCCCTCCTCAAAAAATCATTATCAAAAATTTCAAATCAATATCAAATTTCTATCATCATGACAATCATCCATATATCTTATATCCGGAACATAAATTTCATCTAAATATATACCTACGTCTATATGCTAAGGACTAGTTTATAATTAAGGACGAGCCATATATCCTTCAATAACATTGTTGCATCCGGAATTGAATCTGAAACACAGGATATATATATATATATATATATACACTAGGGGGGCTTCGCGCGCCAATCCCCTGTTTAAATTTACTAAAAACATTAAATATTATTTTGATTAAATTTATATTTAATAAAAACATTTTAAATTTGAACAACAGAAATTTATTTATATATTTTAATATGAACATAAACTATATTTTAATTTGCATCCCTAAACTAAATTTTCATCTATTCTGCAATTGAAAAAATTAATTAGGGACCGAATAAGTTTTTATATATGTTTTTAAAGATTAATTTTACCCAATTTCTTTAAATAAAATTTATTATTTCATTTTAAAGAATTTGTTTCTAAGATGCACCGCGGATAACGTCCTTCAGACCTGTGACCCTATAATTTTGGGGTAATGTTAGATTTTTTCTATAACTTTGACCAAATATTGAGGTTATGTTAGCCTACACACCTATGACCTTCAACGTAAATTTAAGATTATGTTCTCCGTTGACCTATGACCTTTAAAATTTTAAAGAAAGGGTCATATCTTGACCTCTGATAATAATTTTGAGGTTATGTCCGTCTCTACTCCATCGAAAACTTTGTTTTTTGACATATGTCCTTGATTTTTGAAATTATGTTCGTTTTAATCTATGATTCTGTCATTTTACCTTGAGTATTGATGTTATGTTAATTTTTAACTTATGTTTTTGATATATATATATATACAGTACAATATCTGAAATTTTCGAGACAAATTCTGAACGGTACGCGAGTTTTAATGCTTCGCGAGTTGAACTGTAGGCGAGTACTGTGAGCTCCCGCGTAGCGTCGAAGTTCTCGCCTAGCGTTCATACTTGAATCAGCGGCGGCAACGGCGATATCTTTTTATAATATAGTAATGATAATTCAAAATATTGGAATCGCGTAATTCATAATGACATATTTCTATATTAAAAGAAAACAATTTTTAAATCCCTCACACACACACTGAAAAAAAACTAGTAGGTTTTACTACTTTTTAACTACTCTGCGTAGTGCAATAGGTCCTCAATTGAATTTAAACGGTTCTATTAACTATATAAAAATAGTTAAACCAATTAAGATTGTAATTGGTAGAATGACATTTTGTGATTGTATTAACTCAATTCAAAAATTTTAAAACAACTCAAGATGTAAGTAGTAGATTTTACTACTTAAAGTGGTACAATAGGCTTAAGAACATTTTTTTTGGTACATTTAATAAATATTTTTCAATTGAAACTACTACTTTAAGTAGTAAATTTTACTACTGAAAGTGGTTCAATAGGCTTTAAGAACATTTTTTTGTAGAATTAATAAATCTTTTGCAATTAAAACTACTACTTTAAGTAGTAGATTTTACTATTTAAAATAGGAAAATAAAATTATTTTTTATTTATAATTGTTTATTATTAGTAGAATTGACTTTTTCATCCTCTCTCCTATACTGACGCTTATTTTATGCCCTAACGATTATGTACCTAACAGAGAAAATTTCCAACCGACGGAAATTGAACCCTCGACCCTAACGCTCGCTATCCGATACCTTAACCGACTAACCACGCACGCTCGCTACGACAGTCTGCAAACTACTTGAAGACTGCTTTCTGCTTGTCCAATTGGTAATTTAACTATTTAAAGTAGTCATTTTTACTACTTTTATTAGTTGCTATAACTATCCTTTTTTGAGTTTTGACTTGTAAATTTTTCATCTTTTAATTATATTATAAGTTGTTTATAATTGCATAGTGCAGTAAAATCTACTACTTAAAGTGATAGTTTTAATTGCAAAGGATTTTTTAATTCTACGACATAAATGTTCTTAAAGCCTATTGAACCACTTTAAGTAGTAAAAGCCACTACTGAAAGTAGTAGTTTTAATTGGAAACGATTTGTAAATTTTACATCAAAAACGTTTTTCAAGCTTATTGAATTAATTAAAATAGTAAAAAATTACTACTTAAAGTAGTAGTTTTAATCACAAAGGATTTGTTAATTCTACAACAAAAATGTTCTTAAAGCCTATTGTACCACTTTAAGTAGTAAAATCTACTACTGAAAATAGTAATTTTAACTGGAAACGATTTGTAAATTCTATATCAAAAATCTTCTTTAAGTTTATCGAATTAATTAAAATAGTAAAAATCTACTACTTAAAGTAGTATTTTTAATTACAGACGACTTGTTAATTCTACAACAAGAATTTTATTGAAGCCTATAAAATCATAGAAATTAAAAAAAAAATTTACTACGCAAAAAGCAGTTATGAAAAAACCTAGTCTCATTTTTGTTGCATCTCAAATTGAGCCAATGTTAAACGACATAGACAGTGGCGCCACCAACCTGGCTCATTTATGTTGCACTTCAAATTGAGTAGCGTACGCTACTCATTTTGAGACCAGGTTTTTTCTGTGATATTAATTAAAGAAAATAATTCCTTTTCATATAACTGCGGTGAATGGTAGTTGGATTTACTACTCTTCAAATTTTGAGTTGACTACAATTTCATTTGTTTTTACTATCTTAAGAAAGTTAATTTTACTACCGACCTGTAGTTGTACTTTAACTACATATATTTACGTAAAACCAACTATTACTTATTAACTTCTTAAAAATAGTTACATTAACATGATTAGATTAACTAAAAAAGTAGTTATTTTAACTACTTTTTAGAGTCAACTACTCAATGTTAGTTGAATTTCGCGGCAACATTTTTTTCAGTGCAAAAAATGACAGTGTAAAATTACTACGTCCGACGTTGGACGCAGTAATTTTACACTTTTGTCGAAAACGCTTTGGTATATTACAATGTCGCACGTGTAGAATTACATTCAGGTTGCAAGCACAAACTCTCTGAGATTATAAATTTACACTGAAAAAAATTTATCCGAAATCTTCAACTACCTTTTGGTAGTTGAGTGAAAAGAAGTTAAAACAATTACTTTCTTAGTTAGTTTAACAATGTTTGTGTAGTTAATTTCATTATTTCTTAAGAAGTTAAAAATTAGTAGTACAATTAACTTAAAAATATAGTTAGAATTTAAAACTAACTACAAAATCTTATTATATCAACTACATTCTTAGTTATTTTAACTACTTTTTAGTAGTTAATACAACTTTTAAAATTGAGTTGAGGACCTATTGTACTATACAGGGTAGTTAAAAAGTAGTCAAATCTACTACTTATTTTTTTGAGTGTACAAATTGCGACCTTGTAATCCAAAGAGTAAAATTCATCGACAAAGTGTAATTCTAATCTGGTATTTTTTTTTGTATGTATATATTGGTGGTTAAAATTCATATAAATTTTAAGGTTATGTTCGTTTGTTTATGGGTGAGAGGTATTTCCTGAAAAAATTTAAGTTAAGTTTGAGGTTATGTTCGTTTCTTGGTTAGGGGGATTTCCCACCAAAATTTGACTTAAAAATATTTAAAAGATTCAAGGTCATAGATGATGCATAACCTCAAAATTCAAAGGCATAAGTAACATATCCTTAGGGATATATTTTTCTAATTCATTTTAGAAGCTATATTTGCCTGAACTAAGTGTCACGTATCTATGTATATATGAGGGAATATGGTTGGACGATGATTATGAGCCAAAGTACGTTTGAGAAGCCCGCGGGGCCAAAGTTGAATCCCATAACTGTGTAAAAAGTTTCATCATGATATTATACGTGGTCTGATAAAAAAAGTTGCAGCAACGGAATTTTTCTGCTTCCTCTTTTTTTTTCTTTCTTTTTGCAAGATTGTGTTCATTGCAAAATTTTTTATACCAACACTCGTAATCCTTTACAAGTGGTAAATATAGTTTTCTTTTTTTTTTAAAGAATTTCAAGATATCCCACTTTTCGAATCATACAAAATAAAATGATAATTTTATAACTAAATTATGACTTTTAATTAAGAGTGATTATACTGATTTTTTTTTAAAAAATAATTTACTATTTAATGTGCCGCATGAAAGTGATGAAGTGAAAAAGAAACGAATTTACAAAATAGAGTACTCAAGATTGTCTTTTTTTTAAAAAAATAATAAAAATTTGCAAAATTTTGTAAATGTATTTTTCCCTAAGGGCAAAAGAAAAAAATAACTTAAATAATATCATATATAGACGTTCATGATTAAAGTTGAATGCCTCTCTATAAAGCGTGCGGCACATAAACGAGAGGACAAAACAGCAGCGAGTGCATTTAATTTGCTTAACGACTACAGTCTCTCACTTTACTCTTATCACGCGCGAGTAACGATTTTAAAACGTTTTCGTTCCCTGCAATTTATTTAGGAAACTTGACTCACTCTCTCTCTCTCTCTCTCTCTCTCTCTCTCTCGCTTGGAATTGCGAAAAAGGTATTTTCAACTGTTTCCTCGACTATTTTTAGAACGGTAGGTGAAAAGAAAATAGCAAAATTCAAGTCGATTAAAACTAAAAAAATATATATTTAGTGATTTACATTTAAATTGATGTAAATATATGTCTATATTATAATGAGGGTAAAGTAAAATGATATTTTAGTAATTTTAATGTATTAAAAATGATTTTTTATTTAAATTATCCTTACATACATATATATAACACATCTTACTCTAATGATCAATAATGGATGGAACTTTTTTCTTCCATGTCTTAATCCATTTAACAATTATTTCACGTTCACGTTTTCGTGCTTTTTTCAAATCTTCATTGTCCGTCAAACGATCAACCTGAAGATCCATACAATGAGATGATCCTAGAAATTAACAAATATATATATATATATATACAGGGTGTTCCAAAAGTATGGAAACTTGCAAATATCTCGAAAAGTACGAATTTTCGTAAAAAATGTTCAATACAAAAGTTGTTCCAAACAAAAAGATCTACATTGTTGAAACCAAAAATTGGGCTCCGGGCCCAATGTTGGGCCCTACAATGAAAAAAGTAGTTTTCTTAAATGAGACCACTAATTTTGAATATCAAATTCGTAATCCCCATGAAATTCTGCGTTCAGACATGTGGTATAAGTGCCCAAAATATTGGGCCCAATCCAAGATATCGGGCCCAACATTTTTCGACAAAGAAATACATTTAAAAAATCGTATCTTTGGGGGTTTTTGGGGTCACAGGATTACAAAATTCAAAGCTACTTTTCAAATTGGGCACAGAGCCCAATCTAGGATTCCGCGGCCCAATGTAAGGCCCACAGTAAAAAAATGAGTCTAAATGCCAAAAATATTGGGCTCAATATTTTTGGCATTTGTACTACAAAACTAAATCCAAAATTTCATGACGATATTACGAAATGGATACTAAAAATTAGTGGGTTTTATTTTAGACAACTAATTTTTTTACTGTGGACCTTACATTGGGCCGCGGAATCCTACATTGGGCTCTGTGCCCAATTTGAAAAGTAGCTTTGAATTTTGTAATCTTGTGAACCCAAAAACCCCCAAAGATACAATTTTTTTAATTTATTTCTTTGTCAACAAATTTTGGGCCCAATCCTAAACATTGGGCCCAATATTTTTGGCATTTGTACTACAAAACTAAATCCAAAATTTCATGACGATATTACGAAATGGATACTAAAAATTAGTGGGTTTTATTTTAGACAACTAATTTTTTTTGCTGTGGGCCTTACATTGGGCCGCGGAATCCTACATTGGGCTCTGTGCCCAATTTGAAAAGTAGCTTTGAATTTTGTAATCCTGTGTCCCCAAAAACCCCCAAAGATATGATTTTTTAAATTTATTCCTTTGTCGAAAAATGTTGGGCCCGATATCTTGGATTGGGCCCAATATTTTTGGCACTTATACCACATGTCTGAACGCAGAATTTCATGGGGATTACGAATTTGATATTCCAAATTAGTGGTCTCATTTAAGAAAACTACTTTTTTCATTGTAGGGCCCAACATTGGGCCCGGGGCCCAATTTTTTGGTTTCAACAATGTAGATCTTTTTGTTTGGAACAACTTTTGTATTGAACATTTTTTATGAAAATTCGTACTTTTCGAGATATTTGCAAGTTTCCATACTTTTGGAACACCCTGTATATATATATATTATGAGGCAAAATTCCTGAAATGTCTGAACAAAAAATTAAAAGTTCTCAAATTTAATCCATACTTTTCTAAAATGTTGTCATTGTTGATGAAAGTCTAAAAATCAATTATTATTGAATTATTGATAAAATAGTTTTTGAATTACAACGTTTTTAATTTTTGACTTTTGAAAAAAATAAAGAGAGAAGCGAAAACTTATAAATTGCGAGCAATTAAATAAGAAAAAAATTATTTCGAAATAAAATGAAATACACTAATCTTTATTTATGTTTATCACATAAGATTTAAGTTAAGTTCACAATCACAACACTTGAAAATTTTTAATTATTTTTATGGTTTAAATAATTATCAATAATTTATATATTATAAATGAACAAAATTTAAGCAATGCACGCTTGATAAATATTTCTAATGCGTTGTCAATTAATGCAATTAATAATTTCCTATTACACAATATCATAATCGACATATATGACATTTGTAAACAAACAGGGTTGGGAAACAAGAGCCCAAAATATTTTCGTCCAAAGCAGAGTTGGGTAGGATTCTGTTTCACGTTTAAGATTAACGCACATGTAATTTTGAAATAGGGAAAAACTAAATAATTATTTTTTAATAGTTTTGTTAAAAATAATTTGAACTGTAAATATAATGAAAAAAATTCAAATGTTGAGATCTTTTTTCAGACAAATGAAAATTCTATTAATTAGAAATTCTGATAAGAGTGTCGAACGTTGTCTTGATCAAAAACATGAAAAACTATAGTCTGTTTCACGTTCACCTCTTAATTGCAATGTTTTAACTAATGAAATTTAATGTTTAATGTTAAAATTAAATGTTTAATGTTATTTTAAATTTAATGTTTCAATCAATGAAACTAAACTATACTTTTATAAACATGTTGAGAACCTTTTCGTGATAACTGAGCACTCATAGCGAGAATTTGGAAAATGCATACACTTTCTGAAAATTATTGTTGGACATAATTTCAATCCTACTCAACTCTGCTTTGGAGGAAAATATTTTGGGCTCTTCTTTCCCAACCCTGTTTGTTTACAAATGTCATATACATATATGTCGATTATGATATTGTGTAATAGGAAATTATTAATTGCATTAATTGACAACGCATTAGAAATATTTATCAAGCGTGCATTGCTTAAATTTTGTTCATTTATAATATATAAATTATTGATAATTATTTAAACCATAAAAATAATTAAAAATTTTCAAGTGTTGTGATTGTGAACTTAACTTAAATCTTATGTAATAAACATAAATAAAAGTTAGTGTATTTTATTTTACTTCGAAATAAATTTTTTTCTTATTTAATTGCTCGCAATTTATAAGTTTTCGCTTCTCTCTTTCTTAAAATTCATAATAAAAGTATTTTTAATATCTTAATATTCATTGCAGTTAATAAATTAATTAATAAATTTGTCAATAAGAGCATGCCAGCCATGACAGTTATATTTTGATACCAATTCAGGTATCAAAAAATGATCCCATATTCTGGATCATTTCTTGAAAATGATCCAAATATTTAGATCAATTTGATACCTTATATCGAATCAAAACGTTGCATTCAAAAATGATACCATCAAGTTTACAGTGGCTATAACATGGTGAGCTTGAATCACCATTTAAATGAAAAGTTTAGTAACTGTAAATATTTTTGCGGATTTTAAATCTACATGTTTTTAAATTAAATTAGAATAATCAAAAAATTAATTTATAAATTTTTTTACCATTTATAAAAATTGATGGTGACGCTTCATTAAGATTGTCTAAAATTGAGAGAGCATGCCAGGGATCAATATTTCCATTGACAAAAAGAACATTTTGTACATCCGGTATTCTTCCACCATACATGACATTTGTTCGTTTTATTCCTTCGCTAAGCAAAATTTTTGTATATCTAAAATATTATTGTAATTGTAAAAATTAATAATAATAATAAAAAATTGCAATTAACGTAAAAGTTTGTATCAAATAAGATGTATAGATTTTTTCTTATATTTCATACTGGCTTAATAATAATTATTTTGTTCTTATAATATATGTATATTAAATACAAATTAGGATAAATAAGAATTGGTTTAATTTATTAGTAAATTTAAATTAAAATCTCTGAAATTTGAAAAAAAAATTATACACCTTCTTTTGATCAATATAGAAAAAGTAAAATTTACATACTCATCGCCATAAATATCTTTGCAGAGTTTTGTAAAATATTCATAACTTAAATGAGGGCCAAAAATGGATTTTTTCGAATCAGTTGTTTGAAAGTAACCATATTCAGTGCAAGTTTGAAAGATCCATTGTCTCACTAATAATTTTTTTTTTTAGATTCATTATATATGTAATGTTTAATTAAATATTGAAGTGAAATATGATTTTAAAAATTTTAATTTAAAATTTAGTTATGATAAAAAAAATTTAATTAAAAGTGCAAATATACTAAGTGGTTTTTATTTTGAGATTAATGTATATAATTAATTATTAATAACTATTGTAGTTAATTTTATTTTGTTTTTAAAACAATTATTTAAATAAACTTACTAATTCCAGTATTAGAATCCCAAGATTCGTTTCTTAGTCTTTTAATTAATGAATTATAGTCAATATCAGTGCAAGCCATTCCATTATTGACAATTTTTCCCAATCGTTGAAATGGTGTTCCTAATGTGATATTTGTCATTTTGTCACATGCAATTGATATTGCAGTTTTACCATTATTATTTATTGCATTATATTGAACAATATTTGAAAATGTCTAAGAAATCAAAATATATTAATATTAATTAGTATTATTCTGAATATTTAGAATTAATTAAGAATTAGAATATTAATTTTGAATAATATATTATAATACTATTATAATTAATATTTTATATACAATATAGAATTAATTATCCGTGTGCAATAACAATAATTTTTAAATTTAAACTTGTGACTTCGCCTATGAAAGAGCCCCCTCTCCTCTCACTCGTCATTGGCTACTATTTAAGATCATAAGATGATAATTGGTTGCTGTCTTATGACCTTGAAAACTAGCCAATAAAAAGAGAGAAAGACACTTGTGGGCGTGTTATTGTTATAATTAGAGACTACGAATTTTTAGCGTAAAATCAGTTATTTCATCAAATTATTGTATTTTTTTATTATAATTATAATGAAAAAATTGAAAGAAAATATGATTGTTCACCTCTGTAAGAAATTCGAAAAATATTCCATTACCACTGAGACTTGACGTATCGGGAACACTGCAAAGACTGAAATTGCAATAAAAAAAAAACAATTATTAATTAATTATAATTATTATTATTATAATTATTATCTCTCTATATTATAAAAAGATTTTGCCGCTGCCTCCAGAATGGGTCATTCCATGTCAAGTGTACTCAACCCATGTTTTTGCCAAAGGTTAGGTTAGTTACTCTTGACATGGAATGACCCATATATATACCTATATTAGTATTTTAGTTCTGATTTTAACCTCAAATGAACATAACCTCAAAATTTAAGGTCCTGGGTCTACAGGATTCAGGGTCATGCATGACCTTTAATTTTAAGGTTATGTTGGATCCATGGATCGAACATAACCTTAAAATTAAAGGGCATAGGTTTCCAGGATTCAAGGTCAGAAATCAAACATAACCTCAAAATTCAAGGGCACAGATATTGGGTTTGAGGCTATGTCCGACAAACATAACTTTAAATTCCCCTAATCAAGAAACGAACATAAACTCAAATTTTTAATAAAATTTTAATAATTTTAATAATTTTAAGCCATTAAAAAATTAATCATTAAAGTGGAAAATAATGGGGGTTGGCGCACTAAGCGCGCAGGGTGCTTAACTTTAAGAAATTAAAAAATATAATAAACTTTATAAACTCAACTTACTTAAATTCTTCTTTTATCAATTCTTTTCCAATTTTAGAACGGATATTTTTTTCAATTATTTGAATGGCATTTTTAATTTCAACAACACATTGTTTATTATATTTACTTAAAGATGCTGTTACTACATCCAAATATTCTGAAATTTAATTCAAAAAAATAATATTTATATTTTGTTTTTTTCAATTGTGAAAAATTTTTTAAAAGTTATTTCAAAAATTAATTTTATTCATACACAAAAATAATAATTAATTTTAAAAAAAAAAAATATATATATATACCGTAAAAGTTTGCCTTTGCATATACTGGAGCACTGCTGGCTAAAGCACCCTGTAAAATATATTTAAATTATCAAAAAAAAAAAAAAATTTAATTTCTCTAGCATGTATATTTTTAAATAAAACTGCATTTTAATAATATAATATATAAAGAATAAAAATTATAATTATATATAATAATAAAAAAAGAATGATTATTTTTATAAAATACTTGAACTAAATGTGGATATTTTTGTCTCATCCACACAGCCATATTTCCAGCATATGATCCACCAAAAACAATGACCATTGTATTATTGAGCTTTCTTTCTCGTTTGACGGTTTCTATAAAATATGCCACATCCGCTAATGCCTGGTCTACGTTTAAATATTTTAAATTTTTTGTACTGACGTTTCTGCAATGTGTATTAAAAAAAAAAAAAAAAAATGCTTTTCATTATTCACTTTGTATTTTGTATAGTTTTTTTTTTTTTTTTTTTTTTTATTATATTTTCAGTAACAAAAAACTTTTTATAAAAAATGAAAAAAAAAACAATACATTTATACATATATAGTCGACATACTCGAAGGGTCTACTTTTGCCATAAAATCGATGTTCCGTGTAGTACATCAACGCTCCATGTTGAGCGCCTATTCCATGCATTAATCCTGCATTCAAAAATCCCGGATTAATACTCCACTCGCCACCCAACATTATCAAAATTGGACCAGTGCCGTTAAAATATCCATCATTCTCGAGGTAACGCTATAAATAATAATAATAATAATAAAAAAAAAAAAAATACATTTTTATAACGTTAAAAATTTAACTGAAAAAAAATATAAATTTGTGGTCTTGTTAAAATAAAAAAAAAAATCGGACTGAAATCGAGGGTTCCGTACTCGAAGCGAACTTATTTGATATAAAAACAAATGTTTAAAAAATATGTGTTGTCTGACAAATAATATAAGTGATACGAAGAGGAACAATTTTCTTGAATTTTACAAAATTGTTCCTTTTCCCTAATAACACAAGATATCTTGGGATATATTGATAATATCCCGCAGATATCCTAGGGATGTCCTATAGATATCAAAAGGATCTCTTAAGGATATCCAAAAAATCGTCGGTTTGGATATCGTTTGGATATCCCATGAATATCTGAGGATATCCACAGGATATCTTCTGGATATCTCTACCCTCACAACACCGGATATTTAAGGATATCCTTAGGACATCCTGGGGATATCCATTGCCTTGCGACGGTTTGGATATCCCTGAGATATCCCAGGGATGTCCCAGGATATCCTCAGGATGTCCGAGGGATATCCAAACCGCCACAAGCAAATGGATATCCCCAGGATGTCCCAGGGATATCCTTAAATATCCGTTGCTGTGGGGGTATAGACTTTCATAAATGTCCTCCAAATATCCCATAGATATCGTCAGGATATCCCACAGATATCATCAGGATATCCCATAGATATCATCAGGATATCCCACAGATATTTTCAGGATATTCTCAGTATATCTTCTGGATGTCAAGAAGATATTCTCAGGATATCCCAAGATATCCTGGGGACCATTCTAGGATATCGACCATTGATATGGATATCCTAGGGATATCCTTTTGTTATGAGGGAGAAGACCGAATGACCATGTTAAATCTGCGTTAAAAGTGGACCAAATTTTGGTAACCGCTTAGTGTCATGAAAATACTTAATGAAACACTAGCGCCACTGATTGTGTTAAACTCAGCTGGACAGTCGCAGCCATTGTAAAAGTTTTAAAAAGAAGAAGCAACCCTCACAACAAAAGGATATTCAGGATATCCTTGGGACGTCCTGGGGATATCGATTTGTTTTCGGCGGTTTGGATATCCCTGGGATATCTTAGAGATGTCCATGGATATCCAGAGGATATCGTAGGGATATCCGAATCGCCAAAAGCAAATGGATATCCCCAGGACGTCCCAGGGATATCCTGAATATCCTTGTGTTGTGAGGGAATGTATTTTTGGGTTATGTTCAACGTACTTCTAATTTTTCTCACTGTTTACATACTTTCTACGAGAGCGCTTGTGCTCCATTACGTATTTTCATGACACTAACCGGTCACCAAAATTTGGTCCACTTTCAATGTACGTCGTTCGGTCTCCTTATACTACTCCATGATCACAACCAAAGGAGTAAACATAACCATAAAATTAGGTCTAAGTTATGAGACGAACATATAAGGAAGTTCAACTCATTAACATAACCTCAAACTAAAAAGTAATTTATAACAGAATTAAAAATACATATACAGTGCGGTCTCGTAACTGCAACATTCTCTGAAATTTCCCACTCTTTCGGACTTGATACTGCAACATATCCCACTACCTACCATTTCAGGGACGTACATACCTACTATACGCGAGAAAATTTAAGACCCCTGAAAAACGGACTACTTTCATACTTTCACTTTGAATTTCTCTTTAAAAAAATTTTTGGGAAAAAATGACAAAAATCCTTTAAAAAATTTAATTTTGTTAATAAAATTTGCTTATATCAAAATTTTGTTTATCTTATCAGATAAATTAAATAAATATTAAAAATAATTGTTATACATTCTATAATATACATTTAAATTTAATTTAAATATTCTTTATGTTTAATTTAATTAGTATATTAAAAAGTACATTATTTTATTTGTTTTAAATATATTTTATTGTTTCTATTATACCATATTCAAACAATAATTTTTAAACATATTTTTTGTTTCAATGAACAATTTTCATTTAAAACATCAACCTCGAGAAACACTAAACTTTTTTTTGTGTGTTAAGAAGGTGTTTATATTTTCAAATATATGTATTATTATTATTTATTAATTACTACGCAGAAGATGAATATCAAATCCAATTTGCATATTATATATCACTAATATTTTAAAAATGACACCAAACTTTTATATTTATATGAAACATTTAATAATTACATAATTAAATTTTAATTATATTTTTATAATTATTTATATATTTATTTACTTTATATATTTTATAATTTATTTTATTTATCAATTTTATTTTAAATTTTAATTATAAAACAATTTTAGAGTTTTTTTTCATTTTTATTTATGAATACTTGATATTCATTTTCCGCTGTAGATACGGCACTGAAAGCTGCCGACGTCACGTTTCAGTTTCAAGTCCGGTGGTCGAGGTGGGGTGTTGCAGTAACGAAACTGTTGCAGTTTCAAATGTTGCAGTTACGAGACCGCACTGTATATTTCAATTTAATTTCATCAAAATTCAAAAGATCCATTTGTAAAATTTTCAAAAAAATTATTTTGTATTAAAATTTATTCTTAAATTATAATTAATAAATATATGTTATGTTTTTTTTTTTTAAAGTAGTGAATAATAATTCTACTTTTTATTTAATTTTTATAAACAATGGCTCATTTTTCTCCTGAAAACGATTATTTACAATTCTGTGTGTTTGAGTTTTAATTAATTTGTTAAAAAAATATAAAAAATAAAAATTTTATTTTTTTTATTAACTTTTAAACAATATGTATTTTTAATAAAATATATTCAATGAATAGAATTGTAAAAAATCTTTTAAAAAGAAAAATGAGTTATTGTTTGTAAGAATTGGATAAAAATTACCAATATTGTTTACCATAATTTTATATAAAAAATATAGTATTTCAAGTTTATTAAAAAATTAGGTATTTTAATTTTTTTAAAAAAATATTTTTGAAAATTATTTTTATAAAACTGTTATATTACATATATAAATTTTTTAATTAAAAGAAAATCTCATAATTTTAAATGTATAAAAATAATTGTGATTTCGTATATAATTATCTGTATATATTTGTTCCGAACGATTTGTTTACATTTAGATGCAAATAAAATGTGGTCACGCTTTTAAACCTCAAATGCGAACATAAAATTAAATTGAAAATTCAGAGGTTTATTCTAAACTCATCGTCAGTTATAATTTGAAATTCAATTTGTTTAAAAGTTTTTAAATACAGTCTATTGAAAGTGAATTTTTCTATTAGAAATAATACAAAAGTTTTATTAGAATTTTGTTCAACCAATCAGAATATTTTGTTGTTTAGTGACGCCATTGACAGATGGCGCACGAATTGTTCACTTCAATTTGAACAAAAAAAAAAAAAAAAAAATGTTTATATCCAATTTTTCAATATCATTGATATGTTGGAAAAAAGTAGAAATAATAATTTTCGTATATTAAAATTTATTTTAAAAATTAAAAAACAATATGGGTATAATATTATATATTAAAAAGAAAATAATTTGAAGCAAATACCATTTTCCAGGTTCGTGAGTCTTGAATATGAAAATGATCCACCAATTGTGTTATCCATTTTTCATTAGTCAATGTTGTATTTCTCCAAAGAGAGGATTCTGGTTCTTTTAATCCCTCATAAAATAATCCTCGAAATCCAAAAGTTTCTGCATTGTAAATGAATATACATAGAATTGAAATTAAATGCAGTAAAATCATATTTTTTTCTTACGATAAAAAATAATATTGTTTTTTTTTTTTTTTTTTTTTTTTTTTTAATTAAATAATAAAAAATAAACAAAATTTTTTATAAAAAATAATCCGTTCAGCTAGACAATTTTGTTATTTATGATGATATGACAAATAATTTTAATTGAGTCTTGATATATTATAAATTTTAGATTAGATTAGATTAGATTTATTGAAATTTACATTGTCCGTATATTATATTGACAAAATGAGGAATCGATAATATTTATTGATTTGATAAATTGAAATTAATTACCATCTTGAGGACTTTGGATTAGTTATTAAGATAAAGAGAATAAAGAAAAAAAAAGAAGGAAATCACATATATAACGTTTAAAAATATTCAGATTAATTTTTATAAAAATAGAAAAATATTTTTTTCACAATCTTATAAAATTTTTATTATTTCATTTATTTATATTTATTTATTTATTTACTAAAGAATTTTTATTTGAATATTTTAAATGGAATTAGAATTAGAAGTTTGTATTGATTGGAAAAAAAAAATTCTGGAATTTGTTTTCATCATTTGGAATTTCAAAATGTATATACTATATCTATAAGAAATAATAACAAAAAAAAAAAAAAAATAAATGTCTTTGAATTTAAAATACAAGTGTACGCATTTTAGAATGAACTTGAGCGTCCAAGGGAATTTTTTTTTTCTTTTAAAATAAATTTCAAAAATAAATTTTTCATTACTTAACTTTTTTTCGAATAATTTTATAATTCGGTCAATTTTTTTTACAATTTTACCAACTGATGGTAAAACATTAATATGAAAATACAAAAAATTACCGACACAGAAATCTACATTACCAATTGATGGTAAAACAAATTTAAAAAAAAATTCTCCCTGTTTATCATCAGTTGGTAATGTAGATTTCTATGACGGTAATTTTTTTATATTTTTATTTTACTATTTTACCATCAATTGGTAATGTAAATTTCTATGTCGGCATCAAAAAATAGACAAACTTTGATGTAATTTAAGCCCATATAGAGTTTTTTTTAAATTAAATCTATTCTGGGCAGTGGGGGTGACTTTTTGACAAAGAATGCCTCATATTTTTTTTATTTATTTAATTAAAAAAAACAAAATAGAACTCACATAAATTTTCAATTAAATATTCGCATTTGGTTTATGATTGGCATTTGTAATTATTTTTATGAAAGTACATTTAATATTTATATATATATATATTTTTTTTTTCCATACCTGAAACAATTTACAATCAGGATTTTACTAAAGAACGGGATGTCGTAATAAAGTTGACAATCTTGCCCCCATTTTCCTATTTATCTCAGAATATAAGAGACGCCGTATAATACATATCTTGTTCAAGCTTATCTTCTTTTCTATTTCGAATAAAGCTATACGACCGATGAACAATATAGTTATACATGTCAAATTGAAAATTTTATAATTTTAATTTTCCAATATTACATGAAAAAAAAAATTTTTTTTCTTTAAATATTAATTTACTAATATTTTATATTAAAATCAATAAAGAAAAAAAAATCATAAATTTAAAAATAAATAAATTATATAGAAACGAAAAAATACAAATTATAAATCAAGAATGAACATTTTATTAAAAATTGTTATCTATTGGATTTTAAAATATTAAAATTGTTACAAGCTTTTTTTTGTAAATTTCAAATTCTTTCTTTAAAAACTAACTTCATTGTTACTGCTATGGAGAAAAGGAGGAACTTATTAGAAAAAAAAAAAAAAAAAGAATCACCTGTGGGTGAAATAAATAAGAAGAGAGTCAATAGAAAAATACAAAATGTTAGTGCAATAGGAAAAGAAAAAATAAAAAAAAAAAAAAAAATTGGTGGGGGGAGGCTGGGGGCTTTTTTGTAAGCTAAGGTAAGCTTCAGTTGAAGAGTTGACATTAATTGGACCGTCTTGACAACTTTTCATTCATCCCCTAACAAGCTACATCCGTCTTTATCCGCATTATCCGAACGTCCTATTCCATCCTCTCTTCCATCACCGCACGGCACTCTGCGTGCTGACTTTTCCGCCTCGTATTTCTTGAATGGAAGTGCACGAAAGATTTCTAAAAAAAAAGAAATATATATATATATATATATATATATATTCTAACGCCTCCAAGAAGACGAAGTAGAAATCCTAAGCTAGGGAGAAAAAATATTATCTTTTTCCAAATGATGAGAGTTAGTTTCGCAAATCGAAGAAAAAAAACATACTCTATTTTTGTATATACATATACAGAAAATCATTTTTAAAAATACGGATTTTTAATTTAAAAAAAAGAAATAAAGTTATTTACAAGCTTAAAATACTAGTCATACGCATCTTCAATAACAAAAGAGAATAATTTTTTTCTAAAAAACTATTTTTTGTAGTATAACCATATCTATTTTTTCTCAAATTGCTATACATATATATATATATATAAAAATACCGGATCCCACTTGTATAACAGATTCCGGATTCCATTTTCAACATTCCTACTCGGGATTCCACATTCCGTAATCCACTTTTCACATTTTCCATTCCACATTCCGTATTCCGGATTCTACATTCCGTATTTTGAATTCAACATTCCGTAATCCAATTTTCACATTTTGGATTCCACATTCCGTATTCCGGAATCTACATTTCGTATTTTGAATTCCACATTCCGTAATCTAATTTTCACATTTTGGATTCCACATTCCGTATTCCGGATTCTCCATTTCGTATTTTGAATTCCACATTCCGTAATCCAATTTTCACATTTTGGATTCCACATTCCGTATTTTGAATTCCACATTCCGTAATCCAATTTTCACATTTTGGATTCCACATTCCGTATTCCGGATTCTACATTTCGTATTTTGAATTCCACATTCCGTAATCCAATTTTCACATTTTGGATTCCACATTCCGTATTCCGGAATCTACATTTCGTATTTTGAATTCCACATTCCGTAATCTAATTTTCACATTTTGGATTCCACATTCCGTATTCCGGATTCTCCATTTCGTATTTTGAATTCCACATTCCGTAATCCAATTTTCACATTTTGGATTCCACATTCCGTATTTTGAATTCCACATTCCGTAATCCAATTTTCACATTTTGGATTCCACATTCCGTATTCCGGATTCTACATTTCGTATTTTGAATTCCACATTCCGTAATCCAATTTTCACATTTTGGATTCCACATTCCGTAATCCAATTTTCACATTTTGGATTCCACATTCCGTATTCTACATTTCGTATTTTGAATTCCACATTCTGTAATCCAATTTTCACATTTTGGATTCCACATTCCGTATTCCGGAATCTACATTTCGTATTTTGAATTCCACATTCCGTAATCCAATTTTCACATTTTGGATTCCACATTCCGTATTCCGGATTCTACATTTCGTATTTTGAATTCCACATTCCGTAATCCAATTTTCACATTTTGGATTCCACATTCCGTAATCCAATTTTCACATTTTGGATTCCACATTCCGTATTCTACATTTCGTATTTTGAATTCCACATTCTGTAATCCAATTTTCACATTTTGGATTCCACATTCCGTATTCCGGAATCTACATTTCGTATTTTGAATTCCACATTCCGTAATCCAATTTTCACATTTTGGATTCCACATTCCGTATTCCGGATTCTACATTTCGTATTTTGAATTCCACATTCCGTAATCCAATTTTCACATTTTGGATTCCACATTCCGTATTCCGGATTCTACATTTCGTATTTTGAATTCCAAATTCCGTAATCCAATTTTCACATTTTGGATTCCACATTCCGTAATCCAATTTTCACATTTTGGATTCCACATTCCGTATTCTACATTTCGTATTTTGAATTCCACATTCTGTAATCCAATTTTCACATTTTGGATTCCACATTCCGTATTCCGGAATCTACATTTCGTATTTTGAATTCCACATTCCGTAATCTAATTTTCACATTTTGGATTCCACATTCCGTATTCCGGATTCTCCATTTCGTATTTTGAATTCCACATTCCGTAATCCAATTTTCACATTTTGGATTCCACATTCCGTATTCCGGAATCTACATTTCGTATTTTGAATTCCACATTCCGTAATCCAATTTTCACATTTTGGATTCCACATTCCGTATTCCGGATTCTACATTTCGTATTTTGAATTCCACATTCCGTATTTTGAATTCCACATTCCGTAATCCAATTTTCACATTTTGGATTCCACATTCCGTAATCCAATTTTCACATTTTGGATTCCACATTCCGTATTCTACATTTCGTATTTTGAATTCCACATTCCGTAATCCAATTTTCACATTTTGGATTCCACATTCCGTAATCCAATTTTCACATTTTGGATTCCACATTCCGGATTCTATATTTCGTATTTTGTATTCCACATTCCGTAATCCAATTTTCACATTTTGGATTCCACATTCCGTATTCCGGATTCTACATTTCGTATTTTGAATTCCACATTCCGTATTTTGAATTCCACATTCCGTAATCCAATTTTCACATTTTGGATTCCACATTCCGTATTCCGGATTCTACATTTCGTATTTTGAATTCCACATTCCGTAATCCAATTTTCACATTTTGGATTCCACATTCCGTATTTTGAATTCCACATTCCGTAATCCAATTTTCACATTTTGGATTCCACATTCCGGATTCTATATTTCGTATTTTGTATTCCACATTCCGTAATCCAATTTTCACATTTTGGATTCCACATTCCGTATTCCGGATTCTTCATTTCGTATTTTGAATTCCACATTTCGTATTCAATACACCGGCTTCCACTTTCAAAATTCCGTATTCCGGGTTTTAGAATTCACATTCCATATTCCATAGCCTACATTCTTGAATCCACTTTTCATATTACGGATTCCACATTGTGAATCCCACATTCCGGATTAAGCTTTCCACATTCCGGATTCTACTTTTTACTTTCCGTATTCCGAATTTAACATTTCGGATTCCATTTTCAAAATTCCGGATTCCACATCCCACATTTCGAAAGTGGAATCCGGAATGTGGAATACAGAATGTAGAGTATAATTTTCAGAATATGAAATATTTAATGTGGAATC